TATTTACGTATTATTTTTATGCAATATATTTCATAATGCAATGTTTCAATTACTTTTTTTTTTTTAGATATTGTGTATCAGGCTTCATCTCCTGATGAAGGTGCCCTTGTTAAAGGTGCTATGACTCTGGATTATATATTCACGGTAACTACAGATTATTCACTACATAACATGTGATTTTTAATCTTTTTTAATCCCTTAATCATTTATTTTAAAAGACTCGTCGCCCAAATTCTGTAAATGTACTGATTAATGGTGTGGATTATGAATACGAGCTTCTTAACATTTGTGGATTTAATAGTACACGTAAACGTATGTCTATAGTTGTTCGTGGTCCGGACGGAAAAATAACTTTGTATTGTAAAGGTGCGGATACTGTAATTTTGGAACTTTTGAGTGATAATAATCCATTTGTCGAGCAAACAATACAACACCTTGAAGATTATATTGCTGATGGTCTCAGAACTCTCTTCATTGCAATGCGTGAAATTTCGGATGAGGAATACCGAGTGTGGTCTACTGTGTACGAAAAGGCATCTACATCTTTGGTAGACCGTCAGGAAGAACTTGACAAAGCTGCTGAAATGGTTGAAAAAAATCTATTTCTGTTGGGTGCTACCGCAATTGAAGATAAATTGCAGGATGATGTTCCGGAAACAATTAGTACACTTCAACAAGCTGGTATTAAAATTTGGGTCCTTACGGGTGATACGCAAGAAAATTCTGTACAGATTGGGTTTAATTGCAAACTATTTAATGAGAAAACGACTCTGATCCTAGTGAATGAAGAAAGTCATTGGGAAACAAAGGAGTTTTTGGAGAGACGAATTCAATCGCTTAAAGGTCTAGTTAATCCGGATGCTGAAGTAAGTTTATAATCAATAAACTTGGATTTTTTAAATTATTTTAATCACATAAATAACGTGAATATACTTAAATATAGCCTCTTGCTCTTGCTATAGACGGTCGTACACTTGAATTTGCTCTTGACAAGGAAATTGAAGGGGTTTTCCTTGAGCTTGCAACTATGTGCAAAGCAGTATTTTGCTGCAGAGTGTCACCACTTCAAAAAGCAAATGTTGTAAAACTAGTGAGACGCCACCTTAAAGCTATTCTTTTAGCCATTGGTGATGGTGCAAATGATGTTCCTATGATCCAAGAGGCTCATGTCGGCGTTGGAATTATCGGCCTTGAAGGAACACAAGCAGCTCGTAATGCAGATGTATCGATTAGTCAATTTAAATACAGTCTAACCTCCCTATAATCACACTCCTTAGGATAAAGATTTGTGTGATTATAAAGAGAATTTTACTAAGATATGCTTATAAAAAGGTTCTTTTCTATATGTTTATAATAGTTGGTTTTAAAATAAATGTGCTTATAAAGAGAATTTTTATATAATGTGCTTATATAGAGGGTGACTATAGGGAGGTTTGACTGTATTTAAAAAAGCTACTATTAATTCATGGCGGATGGAGTTATCACAGATTAAGCAAATTTATTTTATTTTCGTTCTACAAAAACATAATATTATGCATGACACAATTTTGGGTAAGGCTTCTAAGTTGGTCTTTTTTTTTTTGTTGTTGGTGCAAACATTAGTAAGCAATGATATTTTCTTAAATGAAGTACGAATTTCAAGATGGGTTTTCGAGTCAAGTAATTTACGAGTCATGGACAGCCATGTATTATAATAATGTCCTATTCGCTGTATTTTCAGTAGCACCGGTACTACCGGCAGTGATTAAGGGTGTATGTGACCAATACATAAGCGCAACAATGTTGGACCGGTACTCACAAATCTACAAATATGGCATAGAAAGTGAATCTGTAAATAAAGCATATCTTTTTTATACTATATTCGCACAATATATTTTGCTGTGATATTAATAAACTTTTTCAGTTTAATGTCAGAAACTTCTGGAGATGGGTACTCAACGCTCTTTTTCATTCTTTAGTAAGATTTGCATAAACATTTTAATGGTTTTATCAATTTATTAAAATCAACTAAGACAATATTACTTGTAGGTAATATATTTGGTGTCTACGTTTATTTTCTACGATGACTTAGTTTTAATGAATGGTCAGATAGCAGGCCATTGGTGCTGGGGCACGGCGGTGTACACATCAGTTTTAGTAACTGTCTTAGGAAAAGCTTTGTTGATAACAGAGTGCGCGCATATTTAGTTTTTTTATTTTTCATATTAAAAATATTTGTTAACTTTAAATATTCACTAATGTTTACAGTAAATGGACAAAATACACTATAATTATTGCCATTATTGCTGTTCCTGGATCTTTTATTTTTGGGATGGTTTTTTGTTTTCTTTATAATCTGGCCACATCAATGTTTAAAATCACGGAAGAATATGACAACACCATTCCTAAGTTATTATCGAGTCCTATATTTTATTTCTTTATTCTTCTTGTTCCGGCTATATGCTTACTGAGGGACTATACATGGAAATAGTGATTATCTTTTTATATTTGCATTAATATCCTATTAATATTGTATTTGCTAATAATTTATTCCTGTTTATTGTTTAGTATTAGTCGTATGTATAGAGTAAGACCATACCACATTATACAAGAAATTCAACATTTCAATTTTCCAGATTATAGACCGCGAGCTGAACAATTTTCAAAAGCGAGACGAAAAGTCCGTGCAGTAAATCGCCTGCGAAAACTCCGTGGTTTTGCATTTTCCCAAAATGAATCTGGTCAAGAATCACGTCTTATCAGTGTATACGATACCACTATTTCAAGGCCGAAGGGTTAATCCTATTATGTCGCAACTGATGTACGTAGCTTTATGCCACCACAGAAGTGATAGGAGCAGACATTTATGGTTTTGGTATTATTATGGCTGAAATAGACTATCTCATATAATGTTATGATGAAATCTTACATTAGTCAAAAATAATATAAGTTATATATAGTTAAAATATTGACTAGTTATATCTACTATTAATTATTATAAAATATTTAAAAAATAAATGTTAAAGGACTTTATATTTTTTCGCCTATGTGATGTATCGCCACTTATAAGATCATGTGTAATGTAAAATCAAAACAATAAATAATGTCGGGGATAATGTTGAAACATTGACCTATTTTATATAACATTTTAAAATTTTTGGGGATAATTTTTTTAGCGTTTTTTTTAGTTAAGTTAGAGTTTATGGCTAGTGTTTATAATAAAAAGGTATAGGTGGATTTTGTATTTGAAGGTATATGTAGTATTTCGCTGTCGTATTTAGACTATATTACCAATGTTGTATAATGATACATA